GGGGGGGGGGGGGGGGGGGAGTCAGGAGAGTGAGCAAAGGGAAAGCAAACCATGTTAGAGGGGAGGCACTAAACATTCCCCAATCCAGCTCCTCTTTGTCACTCTGTTTGCCAGCCTGCCAACCGACCTTGCACACATTTTCTTTTGTCCACTTCTCCTATTTTGTCAACTTCCTCATTGAATCTCCCTAACAACATGGTAAATTAATTAAATTCTTTTATTCGGTGTTCGATATCTTACCTTTTCGTCCGAAAGTTTTACATATATACTAATACTGTATGGAAACAGATGAGTAGGAAAAAATGGCACTACTTAATATAAATCGTGTCTTGATGTATTGGTTATGTGCTTGATTTTGTTTTAATAGGTCAAAGGTTCAAACCTCTCAAATAGCATATTTTTCTTTTGCAAATATTTGAGAGAGATTTTGTGGTTAAAAATTAATTTTTCTATAAATTTTGACATCGCTTACAAAAAACCATGCGTACGTCCCTTATCTTACTTAGAGCTCAATTAATTCGAATTCGTAAAAAAAATTCACATTAAAGGGTAGATTGCTTTCTTCTAAAGACAATTTTATAAACAAAGCTCGAACCTGAAAGGTTTTGTTAAAATTAAAGAAATACTTACACTTTACCATAACTTTTGATGGTAAGTATTTTTTTATATATTATCAATGCATTTAAGTTATATTCATTAGAACAATCCTTTCATCTAGTTAACAATGCGAGAGAGAAAAACACTAACTAGATGGTAGTAGCCTTTAAGTGATCATTGAAATTCAAAATTATAATAGTAATTCAAATTGAGCACATTTAATCATGGATCGAAAATAATTTTTTGATATTCCTACAAATTCCACTCTATGTATCACTATGTAATCTTTATGGAATCAAAGGGATATTTTATTGAAAAAAGAAGTTTAAAAATAATTTAAATTATTAAATATTACAATACTTTTTATGCAAGTGTAACAACTTTATTTCAAAAAATAAAAGATTTTATATCTAAATTCACATTAAAATTTTTGTAGTTCCATAGGAAACAACTTAGTGACTAATACACATTGCTTCACCATGGCTTTCGTGTATATTTTATGGTGTTTTGGGGTCATGCGATATGAATTTATGATTTTAACCATCGTTTTTCAAATCCCACCACATAAAATAGAGGGAGGAAAAAATAGATTCTACCCTACTTATTCTCATGAATTTAAACTATAAATAGTTATAAATTTTTAAAAAAATTATTTATTTTAAATTACATGTTAATCATCACAAGAAATGATATGAAGTATCACAGTTCACCGGTTTAAAATTTAAATTTATTATTAATTAAAGAAATTACTGGTTAATGATAAGAGACAGGAGCAATACTTTCCCAAACGTATTATTTATATTAAATTAAGTAATTTAATTTTAGCAATGATAAATTATAATAAAAATAAAATTCATGTTGTTATTTGATAAAAATAATTTATACGCACAATAAAGTTTAATTTTAATTGATTTGAAATAAAATATGATAATGGATAAAATAAAAAACTTGACGAGCAAAGATTCAAAGAATAGTACAAATTTCCTAGATTTTTAAAATCGAGAATCTCCACGTAGCGTATTATTTGCCGCACTTTCACACTAGAAATCTTATATACTCTTTAGAAAAAAAAAGTTTCAGCAGTACAAGTCTTCCTCAACATTGCCCATTTCAAAACTCCCATTTTCCTCCATTGTTTCCTTCGTTTCTCTCTCTTTCTACACCTTTCTCTCTCCTCTCCGGTAAGTTATACACACATAAATCTCTCCATACGGCCATCCGTACATGTATGTATTTGTAAATGTATGTATTTAGGTGTGTGTATTATATGTATCTATGTGTGGCGGATCCAGTATTTGAACTTTATGTGTTCGAGTTAGGGATTTTACCGCAATTCATTTGATTTGCTAGGTTCAAAACCATTCTTTTTTTTTTTGTTCTTATTTTAGTGATTTTTTTACACTTTGTATCTGCCCCTGATGTTTGTGTGTGTGCATGTCTCTGTGTGTGTGTGTAGACATTGGCGTTTTGTGTGTGTATTTTGCAGTTAGGGTTTTTATGGGGCTAATTTGATTGGTTAATTGCGGATCTAGATGATATTTATTGATATGCGTCTTGTAGGTTTTAATAGAGAAGATAACAAAATGGGGAATAGAGTGGATCACGAGTACGATTACCTGTTTAAGATCGTATTGATTGGTGATTCTGGAGTTGGGAAATCGAACATTTTGTCCAGGTTTACGCGAAATGAGTTCTGTTTGGAGTCCAAGTCCACTATCGGAGTTGAGTTTGCCACCAGAACTCTTCAGGTCAGTACTAATTTCGTTTAAGATCTTAATATGGTGATGTTCTATTAGTTTTACCAAATAATTGTATTAATGTCATTTGTTAACCTGTTATTTTTGGCTAAGTGAGTTTGATAAGGTATATCTGGTCCCAAACCGCTAAAATTAGCAGTAGTGGAGCCAGAAATTTATATAAGGGGATTCAATAGATTGTTGAGATTTAAACTTGTAAAGCAACTTCCGAACCCCCTTTACCACTTACTAAAAAATTTTCCTATGTCAAGGAAATTCAACAATTTATATATGTTTACTACAAATCGTTCGTTTTTACCCTATTTGGAAAATATAATTTTTTTACTACCTTCCTTTTACTAGCCCCGCTCCTAGGTAAAAGAGGAGGATGTTTAGTAGGTTGACAGTCAGTGAAAAAATAGTCAAATGGATATAGAAATTCATATGGTCGACTTGGGACTTAGACTTGATTGATTGAAAGAATGCTAACCTATTGAATGATCGATGATATGATATCGGATTAGCTGCGTTTTTGTGTGGTGATGGATGAGGACATAGAGATTAGTGAAGTGAGAGAACTGCTGATTTTGTGCATTGATTCTATTCAAGTTGCAAATTAAAAGGATGAATACAATTCAGATGTATGAGCTGATGATTGCTTTCTTATTCATGTTTTGTATTCCCACTCTCGAGGGCATGTACATTTTTGGTTAAAATTACCCATTACCGTTTGGTTTTCTGCATAAATAGGCAATCAATAACTCAAGCATGGTCATCATGTATTACGAACATGCATAAAAATTTGTTTCTTTCTATGGTCTATATGCAAGATAGGTATGAAGAAGTTTAGTAATGGAGTTTCCTGTATAATGTTGGCAATATTTCTTTCAGAACTTATCTATTTATACTTAAAGAAAAAAGTTGTAGCCGTTGTGACTTGGAAATTGGCAACTAACTATCATATAGTGGCGCAATATAACACTGATTTAAACAATCTGCTTCCGAGGAAAAAAGTTGGCGCCGTTATGACTTGGAAATTGGCAACTAACTATCATATAGTGGCGCAATATAACACTGATTTAAACAATCTGCTTCCGAGGAAAAAAGTTGGCGCCGTTATGACTTGGAAATTGGCAACTAACTATCATAGTGGCACAATATAACACTGATTTAAACAATCTGCTTCCGAGGAAAAAAGTTGGAGCCGTTATGACTTGGAAATTGGCAACTAACTATTTTAGTGGCGTAATATAACACTGATGTTTTGTATGCCTTTAAAACTAAAAGGTCCAACAGCGAGACCAGATATCTCTCTGTAATTGGAAATTTGAATGTTCTAGTGGTTCTTATTTTGTCATATCATGACCAAATACTCTTAAGTTCTCGATTTTATAAATATGCTCCTCCTACACAATCCTTTTGTTGGGGAAATGTAAATGCAGGGCTGAAACAGACTTATTGGTCTTTTAGCAACACTTCTGGACTAATTATTGACTTCATGATACAGGTAGAGGGAAAGACAGTCAAGGCCCAAATATGGGACACTGCAGGCCAAGAAAGGTACCGAGCAATTACCAGTGCTTACTACAGAGGAGCAGTTGGTGCACTCCTTGTTTATGACATAACAAAGAGGCAAACATTTGACAATGTTCAGAGGTGGCTACGAGAATTGAGAGACCATGCAGATTCTAACATTGTAATTATGATGGCTGGAAACAAGTCCGACCTTAACCATCTTAGAGCAGTCTCCGACCAGGATGGTCAAACTTTAGCTGAGAAGGAAGGACTGTCATTTCTTGAGACATCGGCATTGGAATCAGTTAACATAGATAAGGCTTTTCAGACTATACTGACGGAGATATACCATATCATAAGCAAGAAGGCATTGGCTGCTCAGGAAGCAGCCGCAAGCACTACCCTTCCTAGTAAAGGTACAACCATCAATGTCAATGATACTTCTGGAGATGTGAAGAGAGGCTGCTGCTCTACCTAAGTTAGAGTTTCAATGAGGAATTAAGAATCGGTAGGGAGCACAAAACTTTCTTCTTCTAATTTTTTGGTTTATTTTATTATTATTCAAAGCAAGAGATGTAGATTACTTTCTTGATTGTACAAGACAAAGAGGTTGTGAATGTTAATTGTCTAGTGATTTAGGAGGATCTATCATATGAACTGCTTAACTATTTCCTTTAGAAAATGACCTATACGGGTGATGTTGGGAAGAACAGATCTGCTATCTAATGTCTTCAAGGTTACTTGGTATACAGAGGATTCAATTAAATTCTAGCATTTTCATTGTACTGTTTTGAGTTTTCTTGTTCTGGTAATTCAATTCTAGCATTTTCATTCAATACAAGGTACGCGTATTTGTGAAGATACTGATGTACAGGCCTCCTACACAGAACTTCAGAGTTTTATTTCTCCTCTCATAATATTTTCTAGCCTTCTTCTGACTTTTTGGCTTAGCGCAAATGCCTCCTTTGTTGATCTGGTTATATATAGTCTTCTCCAGAGGGATTTCTTCAGAACTTTCACCGCTGAAATATTGAAAGTTTGGTTTATTTTGCACACAGAAGTAGTTTGGTTCATCCGTTTAACCTTTGTAAGGTGCTGATAGAATGCAATAGAAGTAATATACTACAAATATAAAGTCAGTCATATATATGAAATCTGGAAATAGAGTAATCCAGATTGAAGACTTTCTGTAAAAGCACTTTGATGTAAATACATAACCAAATCCACTAGTAAATAACAAAATATATCCCTTTCTCCAAGTGGATTGCATGACCAAGTCATGACAAGTGGTCGGCCAACAACTTGGTTAAAGTTAACCTCTCAAAGTCGCATGCTGCATAATTTGTTTATACCAATTTGTATGAACTCTGATTAGTACCCAAGGGAATAATTAGAAAGTTCTTTTTTGCCTTTTGCCCCCGAGCTTTAATTTAGTAGTAAGAGTATAACATGTGATGTGTGGGTTAAGCTACATTACGAGTTCGAATTCTGGTGAAGAAGAATAGAGGGATGAGCATTATTATCTAGAGTTTGCAACGATATGCCACCTAACCTTGAGGATTTCACAACAAAAAAAAGTCAATGATACATCAGAAGGGTTTTTTAAAGCTTATGTTAACTTGAAAATTATTCAAAGTAGACATGAATACATTAATCATTTCCGGTTTGTCCTTCCTCATAATGGAAGGAGGTAATTCATACAATTTTAGGGTTGACAACTCTCGAATTTCAGTTTTTGTGCAATATCAAAACTTGAAATATACAGAGAAAAATTAGAGTAACAGAAGCTATGACATCGAAATTCTGAGTGTGTTGACAATTATCTACCTAGACCTAGCCAAAGATTGACTAATTGGCCTATGACAATGTTTCCTAACGTTGTGACAAATTTATGTTGATCAACTCTAGGTTCAAACTCCACCAATATATGCATATAGGCCGACAATTGACGTAAAATTAATCAAATTATGGTGGATCTTCTCAATACAGAACTTATCGTTGGGACATGCTCATCTAGGCATGTACATTAACATGAAATGAGCTTTAAAAAAATAACATAACTAGTTAAGATTTATATACCCGACCCCTCGTACTTGTAATTGAGGCGTAGTTACAAGTTCACGCTCAGAATAACATGTCAGAACAACATAATTTCCACAAGTTGGCATTTTTGTGAAACACCCTCTAATTAGTTGCTGTATGGATAAAAAGTTTTCCCAAATTTCAAGACTCTGTTATCCAAAAAAGAGTGATCTTTTGGTTGCATTCCAGCCTGATATCCATACTGCAAAAAGAGAATTAGAACAAATAAAATAAAATATTCCAACGTCACTGAGAAACTGAGCTGTGTCATTTACAACCACAAGACTGCAAGCTTTCACCCTTTATGGTCCAGTGCAATGACAATATCATAATAGATTATGAGCCAGAATGGTTTATAAACGGCGTACCCAAAATTTTGTGTAAGCGGTATTGACTTATGAACAACAATTCCGGCGGTAATTATTGTTTTTTATTAGTTTGAGATTGATGTTTTTAATGCTTTACTTCTTCGTGCTAAGTCAAAATTTACCTTTTGTTATTGTTAACTGTTAAGTGGCCTCTGCGCTTTGGAGTCTATTTCTGGATACGAACCAGGAAATTCCACTTTGGTGCGTAAAGTACTCTTTGTCAAAGATGATTTCAACTCGAACCGAAATTCCTAGTTTAAGATTAAAGAATAATTATCACTCTACTTTGGTCAGTGGTCAATTGCAACTGCCATTACAAGATTTGGACTGATAGTTCATTTTGACTGATTAATTTTTGTAAGTCAAATGGTGATCTTTAAATCCGTACAGCAAGTTTTGGACTAAAATGTGTTCAAGAAAAGATGACTAGAGGGGGTTAGGCTAAGCTTATAAGCTAGTCAAATTGTCTTATAAGTACATTTTGACTTATTTACGTGTTTGGTAAATATTTAAAGTGTTTATGAGCCAAATGTTTATAAGGTAAAATCAACCATAAATTATAAGTTTGGTCACCCTCAACTTACAGCTTTTCAGATTATAAGCATTTTTAGTTTGACCAAGATTTTTCCTAGTTTATTCTTAATAATATTTTTGAATTCATAAAATATTTTTTCCAAAATAAATTTCCTAACTTTTTCTTCATTCCATACTCGTTGTTCATCCTTTTCTTTACAAAGAAACTTTTAAATTTATAATCTTTATAAAGTTTCTCAGGATATTTAGCCATTTTAATAAAAGAACAGTTTTTCAGCACTTTTCTACCAAACACATCAACTGCTTATTATTATTATTATTTTCAACACGTTTATCCAAACACATAAATGCTTATCTAAAAAATTAGTTTCAGCACTTAAAAATATTTTTCAGCACTTCAAGCTTATCAACTATTTACAATCAGCTAATTCAAACGGGCTCATATTGCTAAAAATTACTACTGCTTTTAGAAAAAGAACAATAGCTCTTACTTTATGGAACATGTATCATTATATTTTTGAAGTTTAACTACTTCTTATAAAGGAGAATAAGCACACGAGGTCAATATGCTTGCTTGGCCTTACTGAGGATATAATTGGCATCATGCCTAACTTTACCAAGGGTATAATTGTCTTTGAGGAAAAGATTAACATCAAAGGATGCGCAATTGCTCCTCCGTCTGCTGGCCAACATGACCATCACCCTTGACTAGATTTATCATTTCTTCTATTTGTGTCCCTTAGAGTTGTTTGAATATGCAGGTGGTGTAAAGAATAAGAAAAATACGACTAATATTAATCAACTACGCTCTAATTATGTTCCATTAAAAAATGTTCCAAATTGTAAATTCTGAAAATTTGAACACGAACCCTCTGGATCTTTTTGTGGCAGTGGTACAATGAATTTAATCATCAAATACCAGCTAAACTGAGAAATTTATATATGGAAAATAATGCAGAATCCAAGCACTTTCGAGCGTATGTTAGAACATACATATAATAATCTATTTTCCTTTACGTCACTTGGTGTCAGTCATGATAGATTTTGCCCAGAGAAACTATGATATCCATACATTCGCCTTGGGTGCATTGGTTCTATTTGTGAAGAAGAAGGATGATACTATGCGGATGTGCATCGACTATAGGCAGTTGAACAAAGTTACAATCAAGAACAAGTATCATTTGCCAGGTATTGATGATATATTTGACCAGCTTCAGGGAGCAATGGTTTTCTCTAAGATGGATTTGAGGTTAAATATCACCAGTTAAAGATTCAGGACTCTGATATTCTGAAGATTTGCATTTAGGGCCCTTTATGGTCACTATGAGTTCTTTGTGATGTCTTTTGGGCTGACCAACGCCCCAACAACATTCATGCATCTGATAAATAGTGTATTTCAGCCATATCTTGATTCGTTTCATAGTATTCATGGATGATATCCTGGTGTACTTACGTAGCCAGGAGGAGCATGTCTAGCATTTGAGGATTGTACTACAGAGGCTGAGGAGGATAAGCTTTATGCCAAGTTCTTCAAGTATGAGTTTTGTCTTAGTTCGATGGCATTCTTAGGGCACGTGGTGTCCAATGAGAGGATTAAGATGGATCCAAAGAAGATAGATGCGGTTTAGAGTTGGAGGGTTCAGAGTTGGCCAGATATTATGGACACTTCGTGGAGGGTTTCTCGTCTATTGTAGCACCTTTGACCAAATTGACCCAAAAGGGTTCCCCATTTATATGGTCAGATGAGTGTGAGGAGAGCTTTCAGAAGCTCAAGACTACCTTGACCACAACTCTAATTCTAGTTTTGCCTTTAGTTTCTGGCTCTTATATAGTGTATTGTGATGCTTCTCTGATTGGTATTGGGTGTGTCTTAATGCAGGAGGGTAGAGTGATTGCTTATACTTGCACCAATTGAAGCCACATGAGAAGAACTACCATGTTCATAATTTGGAGTTGGCAGGCATCGTTCATGCATTGAAGATTTGGAGACATTATCTCTATGGTGTGTCTTGTGAGGTATTTACGGATCATTGGAGTCTCCAGCATTTGTTCAAACAAAAGGATTTAAATTTGAGGCAGTAGAGATATTTGGAGCTACTAAAGGATCTCTAGTTCGTGAGGTTAGATGTTTCGGAGCCCAGTCGGGTTCTAGCTTGTGTGGTTTCTCGGTCTTTCTTATATGATCGCATCAGAGAACTTCAATATGATGATCCCCATTTTCTTGTCCTTAAGGACACGGTTCAACACGATAATGCCAAGGATGTTACTATTGGGGATGATGGGGTGTTGAGTATGTAGGGTCAGATTTGTGAGCCTAATGTAGATGGGCGAGTTGATTCAAGAGGAGGACTACAATTCTCAGTGTTCCATTTATCCGGGTTCCGCGAAGATGTACCAGTACTTGAGGCAACACTATTGGTGGAGGAGGATGAAGAAGGATATAGTGAGGTTTGTAGCTTGGTGCCTAAACTGTCAGCAAGTGAAGTTCGAGCATCAAAGGCCGGGTGGATTACTTTAGAGGCTTGAGATTCCAGAGTTAAAATGGGAGCATATCACCATAGATTTTGTAGTTGGGCTCTCACAAACTTCGAGGAAGTTTGATGCTATTTGGGTGATTGTGGATCGATTGACCAAGTCCACACATTTCATTCTAGTTGGGACTACTTATTCTTCGGAGCGGTTGGTTGAGATCTACATCCACAAGATTGTTCGCCTTCACGGTATTCCAACATCCATCATTTCAGATCGGGGCACACAATTTACATCACAGTTTTGGAGGTCCGTAGTTGATTTAGGCTTGA